AATCCGTACAGTCACCAATTGTTCGATTACTTTCCCCACTACATTAGTAGGATTAATTGTTGTGTAGTTTCCGGCACCACCTTTGGGTGGTGGAACAATAACAGTATGCCTTCACTTCCGCGGTAAACACCCTTTTACTAGAGGCACATTGAGCAGATTGCATAAAGGTACTGCAAGTTTGTCTGTCAGCTCCTTCAAAGCGCTCAGCATCAGGTCCAGGTAATTGCTGAAATTTCACTTGAAGTAGTTTTAACGTACCTTTCCCGATGGTTAAATGAATCCACTTTGGAGCAGTTTCAGCACCCAGTGGATGTGGCAACGGACGGGGTTTGGGGGAAACACCGAGGCATAATGCGATACGAACATTGCGAATTGTCCCCGTCGTTTTCCGAAACTACCTCGTCTTTAGGGAAACTCAGGAGAATCGGATCAGGTCTGATTTGGCGTATGATGAAGGTATACAGCTGCTTTGATGCCTGTACTGAATCCGCGGCAAGGCGTTGCTCGAATAAGATCCTCTTGCATTTGTTCAGTGCGGTTAGCCGGTTCCGAATGACTCGGTATTCCTTATATCCCGTGTTTGTTCGGCGATACCTGGACCGGGCTTCGGTTCACTGCCGCGGGCACCTTCGTAGTTGCTGATGAAATCACAGCGAGCCAATGGCATGTGTTCGATGGTGGGAGGAGGAAATTCTTACATGAGGCGATGAATCCAGTGGCAAACCAACTTCCATGATTCATCCACATCTTTGGGGTTATGGAAATTCCATTTCTTTTGTGCTACAGCTGTACGCATCTCCGGAAATGATGAGAGCCACAAATGTCGTTCATCTGGCGATCCGTTCGTGCACGGATAGTGTATTTGCAAAACGAAGTGATTACTAAATGCAATCGGTGCGAACAGGTCATTCTTGATCTCATCTGGTTGCCTCGGACAGGACACGGATGGATTTCTTTTCACCAACTATCTGAGTGGGTTCGCGGATATACTGAGCTAGCGCGAGCGCATGGACAATAGAATAAATCTCTCGAGGAAACAAATATATATGTTGAGGACGGGTGTTGGTTCTCCAGTCAACATATAGCTCGTTGAAATCCCCCAAGGCAAGATAATGACCATCACAGGCGTGCCTCCGTATGCTGACCAGCAACCCTGGGATATACTCAACCGGTGTTTGGTAGATCACTCCTACTGTGTTGAATGCCCCAGCACAAAGCTTGATTCTGTTTCTACAAGTTCTTTCGGACGAGCGTAGGTCTTCATTAATCGGACAGAGAAGCTCAGACGAACGAAAACCACCACTCCACCACTGTGACGTGACGATAATCGATCCGTTCGAAACAGTGTATAACCATCGATTGATATTAAGGAATCCCGGACATCCGTGGTCAGCTAGGTCGCAGTAATTGCAAAGAGATCGGGTTTGTCTGATATGACCCAGTTCTCTAGTTCATCCCTTTTGCTTAATATCCCTCGGATGCTGATCAAGACTAGCACGGTGTGGTTAACCCACCATCCATGCCTCAACCTAATTGACTTGTCGACGTTTCAATAGTCCCCTGTGTCCTCTTGCGAGTTAAAGGTATCCATTGCAGCCGAGGGTGCTTTCGAGTTATCCAAAAATCCCTTTTTATAAGGATCACTTTTAACTTGCACACGGCACTCTCTGAGTTCATCCAATCGAGTTTTGAGTTTACTGCGCTGATCCGGATCAGGATCTCCAAATAGCCTTACTAGAGTTTCTTTCCGTTTGTGGGATCACTGGAGTATCGCCCAAACTTTAACCTCTGCTCGAAGAACCACTTTCAAAGATTGTGGAGAGTTATCGTGGTATTTTGTTTCAAGCGCAAAAGCCGTCCTCACTCGGATTGAAGCTGCGACTGCAGAAATTACAGGTCATGACCCAATCGGACCTGAGCCGTGATGAATTCAGCCTCCGGAAGACTGACGACGATGACACATTGTGATTGCATTGGAACCTTCCCCTGTTGCACGGGATACTTGCACACACTTCTCACTTGGTCGGGCCAGGTTGCTTGCATACTGGTTAGATGCCGTGGATGCCGTGGATGCCGAGAAGGCCGAACATGTTTATGGAAGCAGTGCAACAGTTGATAGCACGGACTTTTCTTCGGCTGCTTCCGCCGCGTTGTAGTTTCAGAAGTTGTTTTCATCGATGGAGTGGCAGCAACGTCAGTATAGGGAGGAGCCAATATCACAACTGGAGCCGATGCTTTCGGGACTGGATCACTGACCACTATTGAATTAGAGCTTTCCCCCATGGGGAGATCGAGTTTGAGAATGGTGGAAGGAATTTTTCAAGACAGTTGTACTTGTCCACACCGATCTGGAAACACTTTAGGGGTAACCACCCGTCACAAACACCGCAACGGAGAGCTTTGCAACAAAACCCACAATTGTGGAGCAGGCCACCCACATGTTCTCCCAAACTTCACTTTTCTGGGAAACTGAATGAAATATATCCAATGCGGATGTAGGAATACCACAATGTAATAATCCGAATACGCACACAGAAGAAACCGGTGTAATGTAATCAAAGTCACATGTTTTCAATAATGTTTTTGACTATGTTTCATCCAGTTTTTGATTGGAGGAATCAATTGTGACACAGAAACAACTAGCGGTTTTACAGAATTCCAAATAGTGCACACTCTGAGGGGCAAACGAATGAAGTCAGCATCATAAGCTACAAATTTGGAGCGTGATTTGAATGAGTGCCCGATTGCGGTGAGTGTAGGACGACAAGGCGAACAGTGAGCTACATGGGTGATCAGGGCTCTTCATTATTTGATACACTAAAATCCAGCCCCCTCGAATTCAGCGATGTTGTGTGAAGTACAAACCCAAATGATTCCAGTTCTTCTTCGAATGCAGTCCCTTAACCATTTTGGTAGCCATCCTCTGTAGAAGTTCAAGAATCTTACTGATATAATTTCCGAAGTTGGTGCCCGGTTGACGAAAGGTGTTTATTACGATCAGGGTATCCGTAAATTGCCATTCATGCAATAGAATATCTGCAGAATTCCCACAAGCACACAGGATAGTTCATGGAATGGTTCACTATTAGGTGCGCATTCTTCTATTGTCCAAATTGCTGTTTGGTAGATTGAGGTTTTTATGTCGGAATTGTGAACAGTTTGGAAGTTTCGGTGGGATTCGAATATAAAAAGAGCACTGCTATCAGTGTGGCCTCATGGCTCGGCTGGTAGAGTTTACGCTGTAGAAAAGCGCAGGCGGCGTCCATGCGTGGGTTTGAAACCCAATGAACTTTTCACAGTCTCGACATTCTTGTATTCACCATACCAAACAGCAGCATTTCGATCCAACAGGTCTGGTTCATTTTTGACCGTTGAAAGAAACCGTTAATCTAATCTTTTTGTGAACTACTCAGAAATAAGTAGTATTTCACAAGATTACGATCGTAGTGAACAAAATATAGAAAGCTGGAAATTCACCCATCATAGATGCATGAAGCTTATTTAGGCTTGATCCCAAAAAGGATCTTGCTAACGAAATCAAATTTTGCTCCAGAGGTAATCAGGACTAATGAGGTACTTATCCAGCCTCAAAGAGGATTAACAGGAAAAAAATTAACTTTATAGGACACCATCTCCGAGATTCTGATACATTTTAAGAAGCACAATTAGGCGTTGACAACACAATAATTAAAACCACTAACTTGAAGTTTCTTACTACGTTGGTAACCAAGTGTATTCAATCATCGTATCCAGAGTAGAATGACGCAGCTTTCAGTTATTCGAACACTGCGAGAATCGGACATCACATTTAGTGTTTTAATTCGAACAACCTTGGCATTGTGCTGCGGGACGCGAATAATGATAGTGAAAGCCGAATTAGATTAAACCCTAGGTCCAGTTTCAATCAAGTGGGTAACAATAGGACTTTTTACCTTGCCAGGAATGAGACGGTTTCCTCTAGGTGTTCAGCCAGACCAAATACATTTTCAAATCACGAAATATGCTTTTTATAAAACTTCCATTCAAAGGAGATGTCTTCGCTGATACGGTCAGTGGAGTTTTATCCGCCGCAGTGAAATCCGCATTTAATGCCACTCAGCTGAGATGCGTGTTCTGTACGTCACCAAACACCCGATGCTACAACAAAGATAATATGTTGACCTTATCTACGGGTTGTCTATCAATTGAAGTGCACCTTTGGTGTGACTTATGTAGGTCGGACGAGAAGGCAGTTATCTCCACGGCTCAAAGAACACAGTCCACGCTAGCTCACACAGGATGGGAGTGGAACTGTGGCAAGCTCGGTTGTTGCTCATCTGGTCGAAACGGGACACTTGGTTGACATGCCCTCGGCATTAACAATCATATATCGAACCTCACCACACCCCTCGAGAGCAATATGGTTTCGAACGTTGGCAGCCGCAGGGGCGATCAGCATCCGACTCATGAAGCCTGAACTGTGCACACAACGAAAACTGATCCAAGCTCTCAAACTCTCTTGGCCAACGGAAGAGAAAATCACTTGTCCATATAACCATGCCGTAACATAGCGACTTTGGTTACGTAATTCAAACGACTAACGAACCTGGAGTTCTCTCGGTCTCGGTCTCAAACAGACGACTCATCCACGTTCCCTTCATGACCCAGCTGAAATTGTTTGATATAAATATGATTGTAAAGGCTTGGAAAAGCATTCACCGGAAACATATGTTCGCCTACATTGTGTTCCAAATATGTTTTCTCATNTCTCATCGTCCGGTAAACCCATCTTGGAAACTGTGACATGCTTTTCACGAGCAGTGAAAGGTGAATATAAACCTGCTGGTTCCCGCTCTCCTTCACACCCAGAAGATTAAGGAGAGTGTGAGGACGACGTTATGAGGTGTGATTGCCCATTACCATTTGAGTTACAGTTTCATCGGAGAAAAGTGGAACTGAACAATAGCGATGTGTTTCCGCCTTCATGAATCACCTGGATCGAACAAGACCTCACCTCTGCCGGTACAGAGAACACACCGAGGTGATTATCGAACAGGTGTTATCTGAAGGCGCATATGCTTCAGAGGGAATCCGTCGTGTACAGAACAAATGAAGTGTAAACTGAAAAGCTGGTTTCGCCTAGCTGAGTTCCGAGTTCGATCCCCATTTGAGTCGATGTATTCATACTGTTGATTAGACCTAACCAGATTAAAACAGCTGTAAACGATGCTTCTTAACTTTTCAGTTTACGCTTCACTTGCTTTATATATTTTGGGAGTGACAGTTATAAAAATCTCTCTTATGAGTGAAAGAAATTTTACGATATCCAGATCAGTGTGCAGTGTAAAAACAAATGGGCCGCGGTGGCGGAAAACTGGGAGTTTTCAAGCTTAGTCTCACACATGGCTTGGGAAGACGCAGAAAGCACAGTGAGGGCTGAAGCACTTTATTTCTATGTAAACCGTGGTTCTATGGAAAACGCAATCAATCAGTAAACAATAAATTCAAACAGACTTACGACTAGGTCACTTGATGCTAGCGTACAGTTTTACGTTAGGCGCTTTGAGCACGTCGCTGCCAGTTTGGATTAAGTGTGAGCCGTGTGCTTGTCTCATTCGACCGTTTGGTTCATGGTTGTATTGTACTTTCCCTGCCTTGCAGGTTGTGCGGAAATCCACTCTTCCACGTAGAACCTCGTTCCCGAAGTGTTTACTACCTAAGGCGCATCTACGGAGTGGTTCAACACCCCAAACACCGTTTTGTTTGAAGCATTGTCATAGCTCTATTGGCACCAGAAACTAGGATCGTATTGACCGAAATCAACATCCTGCCGTGGTGACACGGGTGGGCATCACAACAGTCTATTTCAAATGTGGCGTGCAGTGTGAAATTGTGATACGGTTAAACCGAAACAGAACTGTACACAACAGAAGCTAGCATTTACTGAATAAATAATCGTTCAACTTTGGTATTCTGTCATTTAACATTAAATATTGTAGCATAGCTCATAGATATTCCCATTTATATTTAGACTACTCAAATATTCATAGTAGTTAAATTGCAATTGCTGAAATATTCAATTTCTTCGGAGAATTAACATGGAGCATAACAACAGTGTTAAACTGGATGGAAGACCAGGTCGTTGGATCAGCTTTCTCTGTTTCCTGAATTAATTGTAAGCCAGCAGTGAGATACACCCAATGGCAAACGGATGGATGACGCAATTGGAATTTGTTGGTAAAATGGATACTTGCACTGCTTTGTGTGCGGGTTCAATAATGGCTTCATATCAGCTGATGTCGGCTTTATTTCAAATTTAGCCATCATTTTCCTAACGGAAGCGGGAGGAAGAAGACGGTTAGTCCGCCTGAACTATTATCCATATTGATTGTGTGCAACTTCGCTCCGCTACGATCAAATTCAACTATCGTCTTGCTTGGATGTGATGGGTTTTCTCCCTCTTGGTTTCTGTCTTGATGGAGAAGTTCCGTTGATTGTATAACAAACTGGGTTTATGTTCACATCTAAACACCTGTACTTATTAAGGACAGAGTCATCGGATTATTGTACCTCATGATTAAGTTGCCTCTCTACTTCAGTTACACGTAAAAAACATCATGGATGTTTCGCCCTGTTTGGGTACCGTGACACTACATTATTTCGCATATGCCTGATTTCACATTGTGTGCCTAGTTTAGAAAGAAAAAGACCCATGGTTTGCTCGAGGACATGATACTTCCGGGTTGTCCAGGTCACAGCAGGTGAATTTTCCAAGGAATTTACAATTGGACTCTTCGGCTGACCGAAGGCTGACCCACAACGCAGCAGAACGTATGCGAAGACTGTAGTACATCGGACACCGGTGTCCAGTTCACCAGACCATGCCTTCTTTAGACAGGGTCAAATATCCATTGTGCCCAATACACCTCGATACCCAATTCAACCGGTGTTCACTACCACGACCAAGATGGTGTGAGTGAGTGTGCTTGGTACGCCTCTTCTTGGTTGATCAGAACAATGGGGTTACAGTCAACTCCGCAGGTGGGGAAACCAGTNCCCCCCCCCCCCGGGCAGTTTGATCGTAAAACATTTCTAACACCGGAGGGTAGTGAGTAGGGACTCATCAACATAATCTATTCGAGACGCGTGGTCAAAGGAAGCGTTTCGCAAGATGCAGTGTCGGGGTGACCAGCGGCAACCCGAGAAATTCACCCCGAACATACTGAGGCTTTCCATAGACCGGTAATCTGCTAGTTCTTCTCTCCCAACACCAGTCGATTGCATTAGTTGAACAGGGAATAATC